AAAGGCATTTAAAGGGATTGTGGTCCCTTTAAATTCCTTCTCCAAGTTGTGATTGAACTCTGAAGGTTTTTAAAGGGCTTGCAGTCCCTTTAAATGCCTTTTCCAAGTGGTGAGTTCATCTGGAATACATTTAAAAGGACTGCATAAGCCCTGATTCAGCAATGATAGATACCATGAAACTATATCAGTGTTCCAGACCAAGATAAGATAACTGTTTCCTAACTACACAGCAGCAGTGACCTTGACGAGAGGAAAAATTTCTAGATTATACTTTTACCTCTATGAAGAAAAGCAGTGCATTCTTTGGTAAACTGAAGAAAGAGAGTTAATGTCATTTAATTTTTAAAAAGATTTTTAATAAATGGTAGATAAAAATGAAAAGAGCAACACTGTATCCCTTCCACTTAGATTGTCTATTAATGATTCTGTCCTATTACATGGAATGTACCCATCTCTGTCTCCACACCACAAGGTTATATTATTTAAAGATTTTTTTAAAAAATAGAAGTCCATTGGCATCTTAAAGACTAACAACACTTATTTCAGCATAAGATATCTGGCAATGTGGGCTGTGACATAAGTTCATATTGAAATAAATCTGTTTAGTCTCTAAGGTTCAATGGACTTCTATTTTAGTTTGCTATGCCAAACTAACATGGCTACTCCTTTGCAATCATGATTTAAAGAAAAAATAGAAAATATCTTGAAAAGGTAGAGCCTAGATATGCAAAAGAAATTGCCACCCACCAATTTTAAACGTGTATTAAATGAAAAAGACAAGCACACCTTCTTCAATGACAAAAAAATGATCATGAATATTAATAAGTGCTTCTTACCAGACAAGAATATTTATTTATTAAAAATTTTAGTTAGGTATTTGACAAAACTGGATATTTGCACATGTAAATACATGGATGCAAGCACATGGTTCTGTGGGAAAGGAGCTGTCAACATGAATCTGGCAAAATCCAACATGTACCTGAGGAAACTTGTACATACTCCAAACTCTCGGTATTAGGTAGGAGGTCACAGATGCAAGACCTTCAAATACTGCAAATAGGTTGTCCGTCATGTCACACCTGTAGTTGGGAACAAGTCTGTTCCAGGGTGAAAGAAGTTTCAGAGTGGCATGGTAGGTCCACTTTACATTCAAACAGCTGTCATAGATACGGAAACCCAAGGTGAGGTTGGGCAACAGCCTGAGATTTTCATTTATCTCCTTTACAGCAAGTACCATGGCCAGAACATGCTGATAGTTCTGAATCATTGCACTACAAACAGATTTGCATTATTTATTAATAGCGTATTGTGCATTCTTGTAAAAAAAAATAGCCCACCTTTCTACACTTTTCTTCATCTTTAAAAACATTTCTGTACAGCACTAACATGCATCCCACCTCCCATTCCTAGAAGCACTTTAGAAATGCACAGAGACACAAGCACACCCACACATTCTGATATACTTTTTAGTGTATGTTAGTGCTCTGACCATGGTCCAGAGAGAAAAAATAATTCTGCTGGTACTTTCAGATGATCTCTTAAATTATGGGTAGCTGGTGGTCTTGAAGGAGGGGGGTCAATCTATCCGGATAATTGTGGTGGGAAGCTGGAAACCCCAAAAATACAAAGGCAAAGATTATTGTCTGAATAGGGATAAAGAATGGGTCATAAAATAAGATTAAAGAGATTAAACATTTTGGGTAAGTATGGCAGAGTAGATGATTAAATGGAAACCGAAAATTGGGAAACAACATGTAAATAAATTTAAAGGAAAACGTTGAAAAAGAAAACTGACTGATGTTTCAAGCTTAGAAGTATTCTCTATGTATATATAATAAAGGGCTTGCTTGTTGAAGTTACCAGTTCTTAGAATCATGTCTGCGGCAGAATAAAACATTCCTGATCTGAGGCTGGAACTTCTAAGATTCATTCATTCGGTCCCAGGCAAAGTGTTTGAGTTGGGTCTGCAACTTTGATCCTCTGCACTGTGCATGACACTCTTGTATGCGCCATGTGAAACTGCATTGCCAAACGGGGATCTTGTTGTTAAAGAAACTTTCAAAATGTAACAGTGGAAGGGGAATGAAGTGCAAAATTAGGATTGCCACACACTCCTTCAACCTCAGAACCATGCAACCACCAAACAAGACTATAATTAAGAGGCTTTCATTGTTATAGCTCAAGCCTGTTGACATGCATTGATGTGCTAGAAAATGAAACCTAGACAGAAAAAATAGCCTTACAAGTCATCTTCATTTAGAGGCTCAGAAAGTTCTTGGGTGAAGTCTTCTGGAGTAGAGATGAAGAATGTATTGTAAATAAGACCACCCAAGATGAGATCTCCAGGAAGTAGATACTTGTGAGAAGGGCTCTACTGGTAGCAGGAGCTCCTTTGCATATTAGGCCACACACCCCTAGTGTAGCCAATCCTCCAAGAGCTTACAGTAGCCCCAGTAAGAAGAGCTCTGTAAGCTCTTGGAGGATTGGCTACACTAGGGGTGTGTGGCCTAATATGCAAAGGAGCTCCTGCTACCAATAGAAGAATATCATGAGGATGCCCAATCTTACATTTAACAGCATGACCCTTACACACTAGTGGAGGCAACAGCAGCAGCAACACCAAGAGTATCACCATCCCGGGAGCAGGTCTTCCCACTGAACACAGACTCCCACCCCCTCTTATTAGGATCTACAGCACTGTCAGGAAAATCTCCATAATTGCAAATGTATAACCTGAACACTATTTGCATCTATTGATGGTCTTGAAGCCAGAAGTATCAACATAACCTGATGGCGCCCTGTGTGTCCCTAGACACTACCACAGTTATTCACGGTGTTATTGGATACCAGGCCTCCCCAGGTGATTTAGTAAGTGGAAGAATCTTGTTTGATAGTTTTGTTTGATAGTTACAGGTTTCTGTACTTAAAGGTGTGTGTTCTCTTTGGTATTCCTTGGAAACTTCTTTGTCTTATCTGAACAGAATTGTATGGGTTAGATCCAGACTAAATTTTCTGCTAACAGAAAGGGAGGGGTAGTTCCCACCAATTCCCCCTTTCCTTTTGCAGATCTCCAGTTTGCTTCTTATGCTGTTTCTGAAGTCTTCTGTTTCCCAGGAGTGACATTTTGGGGAGAACAATGGGCTGCTGTGGTAAGAGGAGGTTCAGCAAATTGTATTCCAGTAGGAAAAAAAGACATGGAAGTTGATGCTAACTTGCATGAGAGAAAAACAGTGAAGAGCAATGGAATGGTCTGCACAGAAGCCAAGGCACAGTCAGTGACAGCAGGGTTTGTGACAGTTATGGTGATAGTTTAAACTGTGCACACCCCTCAGCAAAGTGAAAAGTGATGGGTCTGATTGAGCAGAAATGGTGAAAAGACTAAAAAGTCTAAATAAACAGAATTCTCTAAAGTAGCTAGTAAAAATTATTTCCCTAACATAAACTTACATGCTCCTTATCATTCCTTTGGATCCACCTGGTATAGCTCATGCTCCCAAGCATGAGTGCAACACATTCTGGCATCAGCCACAGATGACTCCAGCAAGTGCACACCCCAGATCCTTTGTTGGAGGATCTTAATAAATTTTGAACAATGCACATTCCCACTGGATGCTGGCAAGGAGCAGGGTTGCTAACTCAGGGTTGGGAAATTTCTGGAGATTTGGGGGTGCAACTTGTGAAGGACAGGATTTGAGGAGGGGAAGGGCCTCATCAGGGTATAATGCTGTAGA